CATAACAGAGTTAAACTGGTGCACCACATTCCATTTTAGGATTCAATATCTTAATTAAAGTAATAATAATAATAATTTTTAAAAAACTTTATTTGCACCCTGCCACCATCTCCCCAAAAGGGGCTCAGGGCGGCTCACAAAAGCACTTCAGGTGCCACATACAGACAACAATACACAAGTACAAATACAATGACGTAAGTACAATCAACAGTGCATAAAAATCTTGCCAAAAAGTAAAAAAATATAAAATGATAAAATTCCTAAAACGCAGGGTAAAATGTACTCGAGTCTTTTAGAAAAACACAACTTGAACATGAATAACTATACAAATTAAGTTGAACAGCTTCTGTGCATTTGGGGCTTCTAAACTGAAGCTCTCCTCCACTCAAAACGAAAGCAAGCAACTTGAAATGCCATTCACTAAACACGCTCAAAATGTTGTTACAGTCCCATGAACAAATTCAACTTAAAGTTCGGACAAACAACATCTAAAGAAAAAAAAAACACCCACCTATCCCATTTTTCTCAAACACACCACGTACCAAATGTTTACTCCATCTAATAAACATTAATCATCCCTAAAGTTTTATTTAGTATTAATGCAACTTCTAAGAATTATAAGGTGCAATATTCAAATAATTGGATCTTTTCTGTATGTTTCCATTTTAAGTCACGATGGACTTATTTCAAAGTGGGTTTGGGCTATTTTGCAGGTGAAATCAGAAAAAAATGTTGACAGTACAGTATCTGGAATATAGGGAAACAAGGCACATAGAAGACGGGGAAACCAACTTAACTGACTAATATTATGTAAAGAAATGAACTGACAATCCATTCTGGATGTGGATAAATCTCTACTACTGTTGACATCCTAATGGACCTGTCTGTGGGCAGAAGAGGGGAAAAAGCAGCTTGGTTTAAATAGAAGATGAGAAAACCAACTTAACTGACTAATATAATATTGAATAATAATATGCAAAGAAATGAATTAACAATCCATTCTGTATGTGGAGAAATCCCTACTACATCCTAACGAGGCTGTTTGTGGGCAGAAGATGTTTAAATAGAAGACGAGGAAACCAATTTAACTAATATAATAATAAATGAATTGACAGGCCATTATAGATATGGATACATCTCTGCATCCTAACGAGGCTGTATGTGGGCAGAAGAGGGGGGAAAGCAACTTCATTTACATCCAAGATGAGGGAACCAACTTAACTGATATAATACTAATAGTATTAATAATATGTAAAGAAATAAATTGACAATCCATTCTGGATGTGGATACATCCCCAGTACTATTGGTATCCTTATTAGGCTTAAATAGGAGGAAACCAACTTAACATAATAAAAATAATACCTAAAGAAATAAACTGACAATCCATTCTGGAGATGGATACGTCCCTACTACTATTGACATCTTAACAGAAGACTTTAAATAGAAGAAGAGGAAACCAACTCAACATAATAATCATAATCATAATATGTAAAGAAATGAATTGATAATCCATTCTGGATGTGGATACATCCCTAGTACTATTAGTATCCTTATTAAGCTTAAATAGGAGAAAACCAACTTAACATAATAAAAATAATACCTAAAGAAAGGAATTGACAATCCATTCTGGAGGTGGATACATCTCTACTACTATTGAGATCTTAATAAAAGACTTTAAATAGAAGAGAAAACCAATTCAACATAATAATCATAATCATAATTATGAACCATAATTATGAGCCATCTAGGATGTTAAGATCACCTGGGGAAGCCCTGCTCTCAACTCCATCTGCGTCACAAATACATTTGGTGGAGACAGGGCCTTCTCAGTGGTGGCCCCTCGGCTATGGAACGCCCTTCCTAGGGACATTAGATCAGCTCCCTCCCTTTGGACTTTCCGAAAAAAAGTCGAAACCTGGATGTTCGAGCAAGCGTTTGAAAAGGCAATGTAACGGACATAGGAATTTGAAACAATTGGCCTATGAGATCAGATTATGTTTTTATCTTGGAGATGAAATAATTTGCTTTTGCTAATGTGTTATGGTCTTAATTGATATGTAAATGCTTTTAAATGTTTTAATGATGTTGTTGGCATTGAATTGTTGCCTTGTGGACCACCTCGAGTTGCCTGTGGGCTGAGAGGGGCAGTATAAAAATGTAGCAAATACATAAATAAATAATATGTAAAGAAATGAATTGACAATCCATTCTGGATGTGGATACATCCTTAGTTCTATTTGTATCCTTATTAGGCTTAAATAGGAGGAAACCAACTTAACATAATAATAACAAACAATCACCATCATCATCAATCTTATATAAATAAAAATGTAATGTTCGTTTGTGGAATTAACATAACTCAAAAACCACTGGACGAATTGCTGCCAAATTTGGCCACAAGACACCTACTAACCCAAGGAGCAACCATCACTCAAAAAATTGATTTTGTCATTTGGGAGTTGTAGTTGCTGGGATTTATAGTTCACTTACAATCAAAGAGCATTCTGAACCCCACCAACGATGGAATTGAACCAAACGTGGCACACAGGACTCCCATGACCAACAGAGTTTGGGAGTTATAGTTCACCTACATCCAGAGAGCACTGTGGGCTCAAACAATGATGGATCTGGACCAAACTTGGCATGAATACTTCATATGCCCAAGTATGAACACAGATGGGGTTTGGGGAAAATAAAACAGAAAATACCTAAGGCCATCCAGTCCAACTCCCTTCACTAGGGTAAGAAAACGTAAACAAAGCCCTCCTGACAAAAAGCCATCCTGCCATAGATATAGATATATATGATTCACACAGAGAGATATAGTACCATAGATTCTTGCAGGGAGCGATCAACCCTCCTGTTTAAGGAGCTCCACTGGCTGCCATTCATTTCCTGGTCCCAATTCAAGGTGCAGGTTCTTACTTACAAAGGCCTGAACGGTTTGGGACCCACCTACCTGCATGACCGCATTTCTGTGTACGAACCCATACGATCTCTTTGATCATCTGGAGAGGCCCTGCTCACGCTCCCACCCCCTTTGCAGGTGCGATTGGTGGGGACGAGGGAGAGGGCCTTCTCTGTGATGCCCCCCCCCCCCCGACTCTGGAACTCACTTCCCAGGGACATTAGACATGCCCCAACGTTGGCAGTTTTTAGGAGGAGCCTCACAATGCACTTTAATACTGACTTAGGATGGACTGTGCTCCCTCATTTCTCTCTGAAAAATCCTATCCTAGTTATATTTTACCTTGTTAACGTCAGCATATTTTCAATTTTAATCTATTACATTTGGCCCGGCCAATTTTAAAATGGTTTATGTCACTATTGATTGTTTTTTGTTTATGTGATGTATTTTATTTGTATTTTATTGATTGTTTATTGATGTTGTGTTTATTGATGTTTTGTTTGATGTACTTTGGGCTTGGCCTCATGTAAGCCGCACCGAGTCCCTTGGGGAAATGGTAGCGGGGTACAAATAAAGTTTATTATTATTATTTATTACTAGCCATCCCCTGCCACACATTGCTGTGGCCCAGTCTGGTGATCTGTAAAAGAAAGTAATTAGAAAGTGTTGGTTTCTAGTAACTGTAATGTCTTTATGCTTGTGGGTAAACACTATTTCTTGCTGTTTCTTTGTCAGTGTTAATGTGGTGATTGCCTGGTTTGCCCACTCTGGAACATGCAGAACAATAAATCCCAGTAACTACAACTCCCTAATGTCAAGGTCTATTTCCCCCAAACTCCATCTGTGTTCATTTTTGGGCATATGGAATATTTGTGCCAATTTTGGGCCAGATCCATCATTCTTTTGAGTCTATAGATGGATGTAGGTGAACTACAACTCCCAAACTCAAGGTCAATGCTCACTAAACTCTTCTTGTGCTTTCTGTTGGTCATGGGAGTCCTGTTATGCTACGTTTGGTTCAATTCCATTGTTGGTGGGGTTCAGAATGCTCTTTGATTGTAGATGAACTATAAATCCCAGCAACAACAACTCCCAAATTACAAAATCAATTTTTGGAGTGAAGGACAGACATTGGGTTGTTAGGTGTACTGTGTCCAAATTTGGTGTCAATTCGTCCAGTGGTTTTTGAGTTCTGTTAATCCCACAAACGAACATTACATTTTTATTTATATAAATTGAAAGGGACGCCTAAAGGAGGACAATGATACGTTGCAAGTTCCAGAGTAGGCAAAACAGACAATCTCCACATCAACACTGACAAAGAAAGAGCAAGAAATACTGTTTAGCCACAAGCATAAAAAAATTACAGATATTAGAAATTAACACCTCATTCTTTTCCAGATCACCAGACTGGGCCACAGCAACCCGTGGCAGGGGAAGGCTAGTATGTAAATAAATGAATTGACAATCCATTCTGGACGTGGATACATCCCTACTACTGTTGACATCCTATAAGAAGACGTTTAAATAGAAGAAGACACCAACTCAACATCATATCAACAACGATATGTAGAGAAATGAATTGACCATCTATTCTGGACGTGGATACATCCCTAATGCTATTGACATCCTAAGGAGGCTGTGTGTGGGCAGAAGAGGTGCGAAAACAGCTAGGTTTGTCTGAAAGCAGGAGGAACTGTCCACCCAATGCATGTATTTCGGAGGGCAATGCACCTCCTCTCCACCTGCGCCGCCGCTTTGTTTCCTCCCTCCCTCCGAAAGGCTGCTTATTACACAACGGTGGGCAGCTGAAGTGCTGTCATCTCCATCTTTTGCGCCCAGAGCTGCCTTCCTCTTGTGATTACAGGCGAGCAACGCAAAATGCAGGTTGGGGAGGGGGAGGAGAAGGATGCCCTCGCTGAGCATCCCCGCCATCTCTCTCTCTCTCTCTCTCTCTCTCTCTCTCTCTGCGGCCGCCTTTAATCTTCCCTCCCATAATGCCCTCCCTCCCTCGCTCGCTCTGATCCTGAGGCTGGCAACACACAGCGCAACCAAAGCCTTATCTGGCTGAAAGGCGCACAAATCACACACCTGCCGAAAAGGCCTCACCTTCCTCCGCGAATGGAGACCGACTTCTTCCCGCAGCGACACGCAAGGCCAGCGGATGCAGAAGGATGGACGGGTGAACCCTCAGCCTCGCTCTCCCCTCTCCCTCACAGCCGTCTCCCTCGCCTCATAACATAGTAGTAAGTTTCCATTGGCCGAAAAAAAGGGGCGGGGCCTCCGCCTGGCTCGCTCATTGGCTGGGAAGAAGAGCGGGGGAGATGAGAGACAAGCCAAACGGAGAGAGGGGGATTTTGCTGCTATTTGTGGCGGGACGGAGCGAGCGAAAGGCGCATGCGCGAAAGGAGGCCCCCCCCCCCCCCCCCGCGGAGGTTCGAGGCGAAAACAAAAGCGCGTTCCTCCTAGAGGCCACCTGGGTAAACGTGAGAAAAGAATAAGCGTCATAATAGGATTGCCAATATCCGCTGGATAATGGAGAAAGGCAGGGAGTTTCAGAAAAACATCTACTTCTGCTTCATTGACTATTCTAAAGCCTTTGACTGTGTGGATCATAATAAATTGTGGCAAGTTCTTGGTGGGATGGGCATACCAAGCCACCTTGTCTCTCTCCTGAGGAATCTGTATAAGGACCAAGTAGCAACAGTAAGAACTGACTATGGAACAACAGACTGGTTCAAGATTGGGAAAGGTGTATGGCAGGGTTGTATACTCTCAACCAACTTATTCAACTTGTATGCAGAACACATGTGTTGTGCAGGGCTTGACAAATGCAAGGCTGGGGTAAAAATTGCTGGAAGAAACATTAACAACCTCAGATATGCAGATGACACCACTCTGATGGCCAAAAGCGAGGAGGAGCTGAGGAGCCTTCTAATCAAGGTGAAAGAAGAAAGCGCAAAAGCCGAGTTGCAGCTAAACGTCAAAAAAACCAAGATTATGGCAACAAGAATGATTGACAACTGGGAAATAGAGGGAGAAAACGTGGAGGCCGTGACAGACTTTGTATTTCTAGGTGCAAAGATTACTGCAGACGCAGACTGTGGCCAGGAAATCAGAAGATGCTTACTTCTTGGGAGGAGAGCAATGTCTAATCTCGATAAAATAGTAAAGAGTAGAGACATCACACTGGCAACAAAGATCCGCCTAGTCAAAGCCATGGTATTCCCTGTAGTAACCTACGGATGTGAGAGCTGGACCTTAGGGAAGGCTGAGCGAAGGAAGATAGATGCTTTTGAACTGTGGTGTTGGAGGAAAGTTCTGAGAGTGCCTTGGACTGCGAGAAGATCCAACCAGTCCATACTTCAGGAAATAAAGCCCGACTGCTCATTGGAGGGAAGGATATTAGAGGCAAAGATGAAGTACTTTGGTCACATAATAAGAAGACAGGAAAGCTTAGAGAAGACAATTGTGCTGGGGAAAGTGAAGGAAAAAGAAAGAAGGGCCAACCAAGGGCAAGATGGATGGTATCCTTGAAGTGACTGACTTGACCTTGAAGGAGCTGGGAGTGGTGACGGGTGACAGGGAGCTCTGGCGTGGGCTGGTCCATGAGGTCACGAAGAGTCGGAGACGACTGAACGAATGAACAACAACAAGGATTGTTGTGAGTTTTCCGGGCTGCCTAGCCCTCTAATCAAGGTGAAAGAAGAAAGTGCAAAAGCTGGGTTGCAGTTAAACATTAAAAAAAAAACACCAAGATTATGGCAACAATAATTGACTGTGATATATATTGTTGTTTTAATTGTTTAACTGCTGTTTTTATACGTTTATTGTATTATTGTGTAGGCACCGAATTGTGCCATTTTGTAAGCCGCCCTGAGTCCCCCCTCAGGGGTTGAGAAGGGCGGGGTAGAAGTATACGAAATAAAATAAATAAATAAATAAATAAATAATGATTGATAACTGGGAAATAGAAGGAGGAATAATAATAACAATAATAATAACACTTTATTTGTACCCCGCTACCATCTCCCCAAGGGACTCGGTGCGGCTTACATGAGGCCGAGCCCAAATACAACAATACCAGCAATAATAACAATACAAGCAATTAAAATAAAAAACATAGACAATAAAATATGCAACAATTAACAATAAGACAACACACAATTAAAAACAGTGGGAAGGCCAAATGTAAAGTTAAAATTGGAAATGATGCCGGGACATGGGCGAAAAGGTGAAAGTAGCGTTTGTGGAAAACGTACAAGCAGACTTAATATGTAAAGTGCTTTGGAGGACAAAGTGCTATGGGATCATTATTCTGGGAGGCACACTGGAACAACCACATTTTCAAACTCCTCCTAAAGACTGCCAGAGTTGGGGCCTGCCTGATGTCCTTAGGGAGTGAGTTCCAGAGTCGAGGGGCCACCACTGAAAAGGCCCTCTCCCCACCAATTGCGCCTGCGATGCAGGTGGGATCGAGAGCAGGGCCTCTCCAGATGATCGAAGAGATCTTGTGGGTTCATATACAGAGATGAGAAAACGTGGAGGCAGTGACAGACTTTGTATTTATTGTCGAAGGCTTTCATGGCCAGAATCACTGGGTTGTTGTAGGTTCTTTCAGGCTATATGGCCATGTTCTAGAGTCATTTTCTCCTGACGTTTCTCCTGCATCTATGGCAAGCATCCTCAGAGGTAGTGAGGTCTATTGGCACACGGAAAGTGGGTTTATATATCTGTGGAATAACCAGGGTGGGGCAAAGAACTCTTGTCTGTTGGAGCTAGGTGTGAATGTTTCAACTGACCACCTTGATTAGCATCCGAAGAGCTGCAAGACCGAGAACAAGCCATGAGCGTAACGACAAAGATCCACCCAGAGGAAAAGTGTTCTTGCCATACATCAAGGGAACCACTGACCGCATAGGGAAGCTGATGAAGAGACAACATACAAACTATCTACAAACCCACCAAGAAAATCCAACAAATGCTACGTTCAGCAAAGGACAAGAGGGATCCTCTCACCTCTGCAGGAGTCTACCGTATACCATGCAGCTGTGGACAAGTCTACATAGGGACCACCAAACGCAGCACTGCCCAAACACGAATCAAGGAACATGAAAGGCACTGCAGACTACTTCAACCAGAGAAGTCAGCCATAGCAGAGCACCTGATGAACCAGCCTGGACACAGCATATTATTTGAGAACACAGAAATGCTGGACCACTCTAATATACATGAAGCCATTGGGAGAGATCATCCTGAGTTTCGGGGTACGGTGTCATCTGTACGCAGATGATGTCCAACTCTGTTACTCCTTCCCACCTGCTACTAAGGAGGCTGTCCAAGTCCTGAACCGGTGCTTGGCCGCTGTGACGGACTGGATGAGGGACAACAGATTGAAACTAAATTCAGACAAGACAGAGGTACACCTGGTCAGTCGAAAGGCCAAACAGGGCATAGGGTTACAGCCTGTGCTAGATGGGGTTACGCTCCCCCTGAAGGCACAGGTTCGCAGCTTGGGAGTTCTCCTAGATTCATCGCTGAGCCTGGAGCCCCAGGTTTCGGCGGTGGTCAGGGGAGCTTTTGCACAATTAAAACTTGTGCGCCAGCTGCGCCCGTACCTTGGGAAGTCTGACTTGGCCACGGTGGTCCACGCTTTGGTTACATCCCGTTTAGACTACTGCAACGCTCTCTACGTGGGGTTCTTCTATGAAGGTGACTGGCCAGACAGCTGGCAGGCTAGTCCTAACGGCTCGTGCAGCCTAGATTACTACAGGGGTGCTTGGGTACAGGAGCATCTAACCACATGCCGCTGTTATACGACTTAACAGGCTGCGGCAGCTCCACTGGCTGCCAATTAGTTTCCGAGCACAATTCAAAGTGCTGGTGTTAACCTATAAAGCCCTAAACGACTCCGGCCCTGTTTACCTCTCCAAACGTATTCTCCCCTATGAACCATCAAGATTATTAAGATCGTCTGGAGAGGCCCTGCTCTCGGTCCCACCGGCCTCGCAAGCGCGTCTGGTGGGGACGAGGGACAGGGCCTTCTCGGTGGTGGCCCCTCGGCTCTGGAACTCTCTCCCACTGGAGATCAGAACCGCCCCTTCTATCCTGACGTTTAGGAAACAGGTGAAGACTTGGCTATGGAGACAGGCATTCGACGAGTGAGTCAACACCCTGAGATATGGAAGGAGGATGATGAACAACGATTTTAGTGTGACGACTGACCATTGTAGTTCTTGATTGTAATTGCTGTTTTAATGTTTTGTTGTTGTTGTTGTTCATTCGTTCAGTCGTCTCCGACTCTTCGTGACCTCATGGACCAGCCTACGCCAGAGCTCCCTGTCGGCCGTTACCACCCCCAGCTCCCTCAAGGTCAGTCCAGTCACTTCAAGGATGCCATTTTAATGTTTTACTGTAATATTAATTATGATGTTTTATTGATTGTCTGTGATATTATGGTTGGAAACCGATCTGAGTCCCTCAAGAGAGGTGAGAAGGCTGGTATATAAAACTTTTAAATAAATAAATAAATAAACAACCACCATGTCAGACTACACAGAGAAGCCATTGAAATCCACAAGCATGGACCATTTCAACAGAAAGGAGGTAAGCATGGAAATGAACAAAATCTGGCAACCAGTATTTAAAAAAAATGCAAAAATCAATACAGTAGTAAATAAAGAGCAACACTCAAAAACAGGAAAATTCCAGACGGAAACCATCAGGGCCAGCTAACACCTTCTGCTAATCAAGCTTGCTAATTACAACATTCTCACTTGCCTCCAACAGATAAGAGTTCTTTCTCCTACACTGGACATTATTCCACAGATATACATACACTCCACTTGTCTCACTTCCAACAGAACCATTAGCCACAGAGGCAGGCGAAAAGTCAGGAGAGAATGCTGCTAGAACATGGCCATACAGCCCGGAAAACTCACAGCAACCTAGAACTTTATTATTATAGAATCATAGAGTTGGAAGAGACCTCATGAGCCATTCAGTCCAACCCCCTGCCAAGAAGCAGGAAAACTGCATTCAAAGCACACCCGACAGATAGCCATCCAGCCTCTGTTTAAAAGCTTCCAAAGAAGAAGCCACCACCACACTCCGGGGCAGAGAGTTCCACTGCTGAATGGCTCTCACAGTCAGGAAGTTCTTCCTCATGTTCAGATGGAATCTCCTTTCTTGTAGTTTGAAGCCATTGTTCTGCATCCTAGTCTCCAAGGAAGCAGAAAACAAGCTTGCTCCCTCCTCCC